GCCTCGTTGTCCGATGAAGGAAGAGTCCGCAAAAGGCCACAATCCGAGCAAAAGAGCTCCAAAGGAGAGGAGAAAACGATGTATGAAACCCCAGAGCTGAAAAGTATGCAGGAATGGATACTAGCACATATGCCAGAGACCTAAAATCTGCTAAGTGAAAGAAGTTATAAGCCACCTAACATATGTTAGGGAACCTTAAGATGTCTGAGGGGGAAAACTAGAAGGTAAATATAAATGACAGTTCGACCGCCGATTTCAACGAGGTCTACCGTGTGCTCTACAGCAATGTGACGAAGGGACGGTGAGTTGCGGGTGAACTAGTTTTAAGTGGTAATAGACTAGCGCTGCATCTACCTCACCCTATCTCCCATCACTTGTGCCCGGATATCAAGACAGAGTCAAGAAAACCGGAGGGGGATCGGGCGCCTGAGGCTAGCGCAACACTAAGCTGCACCTATATGTACCCCCCTCCCCTCCCCCAGTGTTCGGCATTTGATACGAGAACGCATCTCTAATAACACCTAGCGCCGCCATGATGTTCCAGCCCGTCTACCATGCAGCCCGTTTAGAGGGCAGGGGAAACAAGAAAGCCATGCAGGCCAAAATTAAGGCAACAAAATTACCACCTATGAACTACCACACCGACCAGTAACAGATGGCAGAGGAACGCCTTAGTAAACAAGGGGACTTCACCGTCACTTACAACCAACTCCAGGAGTACAACAAGCAGCAAAACTGTGAAAGCCATTGGTGATCGAGAATCGGCCTTCGTTTTTGCATTCGAGGGGGTTTCTGAGGCGAATGAAACCATATGGAAAACGACATCGCGGAAGGCTGGTACGGCAAGTAACAGCAGGGAAAGTGCCAGGGGAAGCAGCTGGTATAGCGTTCGAAGCCAGGACTGATCGGAAGCTGTTGGAAAAAGAGTTACAAGTGAAATGGCAAAAGCACACGTAAAAGTGCAGCAAAAAATGAGCATCGACAGACAAACGTACCACTGGAAAAGGTCAAAAGGATGCAAGACGCGACGCAAAATGCACATATGTTCCAGGACAAAGAGCCCGGCGCAAAGCCATGCCGCCGATAGCTAGGGTGGCTAACTATGTCTGAGCATAGGATAATCGACCACAGAAAGTACGAAACCATGATGCACAACCTACAGCAAACGAAGACAGAAAGTAAAAAATAGAGATCTGGTAGGTGTATATATGACAAAATTAGCCATAAAGAGAAGGTTGATACACTAATCACCTACAAAAAGGCACTTCGTAGCGCAAGTTGTGTCGAAGCCAATAAAACCCGATAGCGGGCTTTTTTTATTTTACTGCGACTAAACGCTGCAACGTTACTACACAGAAATTAACCAACCCAAACCATATTTTGTAAAACTGAAGGTGAAAATTTAGGGATACTGAGGAGACCGTTCACATGCATGCGCGACATAATTATCTAAAAAGTTGGCCAAACTAAGATCGTCTCACCGAACCAACTCGCCGGCCGACCCTGTTCATAAGCTTTCCCCTAAAAGTTTCACTAGCACGCAACTTGCAGGCCTAGAACATGGAGCCCCTTTCAACACGGCTAATTTCACACCCCCATAGTTCATCGCTAATTTTGAATCAGTTCTTCAATTTAAAAAAAATGCATCGCAAAAGACGAAAGAGTTAATCCGTCAAAAGAAAACAGTCGTCGCTCATGCGACACGAAAGGTGTAAAAATCTTGGCAGAGAAGAACAGAAAGCATTACAAAGTCTGAAAGTGGATAAAGACAAAAGCATTCTGCAGGAGGACAAAGGTCGTTCTACAGTGAACTGAAAAATCTGCTTACCAATATAAACAAAATTCTAAGAAAATAGTGAGGCTACATCCAGAGATTGTTTATTCATGAAACCAACTGACACAGTCACGGTGCTATTTTATGATCTGTCAAAAGTATACAAGGAGTACATACCGCTTAGGCCCATCTTCTCCCTTCGTAGTACTCCTACATGCAATTGGGCGAAATGGATGCTTGGTCACCACAAGACTCAACAACAACCATAGCAGCTGTTAATCCGTTCCATGAATAAGTCGATTGACCCAACTGTGAAAAATGTGTGGCCTCAATGGGACTCGAACTCACATCAGCAGGGAAGGCTTTAGTGCAACCAACGCTCTAACGCTGTATTAAAGCCTTCCCTGTTGATATGAGTTAGAGTCCCACCGAGGTCACACATTTTTCACACTTGAGCCAATTGAATCATTCAAATACGCCAACCCCTGCCCCGCCCCATAATAAAACGTCTGAAGTTGGAGCCAGATGAATCCATGGCACCCTTTGCTCTCGTTTCAACCTTCACCTCCATTTCACAGGAATTAGCGGAAGTTGTGAGACAACTTCTAGCGGAAAGCTACGACGAGAGTGACAAGCTCCTGAAGTTTGAACATCTGCCCAAACTTTACGTAAATGCCTTAAAACTGATTTCATATTTGGTGGACAAATGTATGAACAAATTAAAGGTACTCCCATGGGCTCTCTCCAACTTCAACACTAATCACTCTGCGTCTCAGAAACGTAGGTGCGGCTGATAAAAGAACTGAACGACAATACCTTCATGACCTCTGCTGAACTAACGAGTAACCAAGGTAGTTCATAAAACGAAGTAAACGATGAGTAAACAGATGACAGTCAAAGGAACAGCAACTCGAAGTCTAGAAGACCATTCCGTACACTAAAGTAGTCTTAAAGGAATTCTTTCGACTGTTAGAACCCACCGGAGCAGGCACAGACCACTGGTCCCAGACAACAATTCGTCACAGTGTGATGTGACCTAAGGACAGACTGTCCCCTAGCGAAACCGTGGCTCAATAGTTAGACCGTTTGACTCTGATCAAAAATTGCGATTTCGAGGCTCGAGTGGGGCGTCGCTTGGGTCTGGGTATGACTGGCCGACGACGTCTAATAAGCCAGAAATGGCCACTTTAGTCTCCCTTGTCTTTGCCGGTAATACTATTTGTTGCCTTCCTGCGTCCGAAAACGACCATCTGTATTATTTCAAAAAAGCAAATTATTCCTCAGTCGTAGCAAGCAGCCAGGAATAGAAAGGGTTATACAAACAGATAAAACGTATCCGCAGACGAATTCGAACTGTCCCCTGATTTTGAGCACAGAGTTGCCCTCTTACTTGTACAAGTAATTCACATCCTTTTTATTTCGGGCTCGCACGTATAACCTAGGTCAGTTATTCTTCTGGATTGGAAAGCGAAGCTCTTTTCGTCACTGTGCGGAAACTCAGTTGCATAAGTTTGCTCAAATTCCAGCCTGCACTCGAAATAAAACAGACCCCCTTACGTTCTGATACTGTGGCACACGCAACTGCATTTCGCTCGCACACATGAAGTGTGCCTTACAAACCAGTAGAACATGTTACTCAGACCGAAGGATAGGCTCGTTTTGCAACAAGGGAATATCGATTACACGCACAGCACAGTGGCACCTCCACTGAAGCTCACAGGCAGGGCACCCGGCTCGAAATCGAGAGTTCGGCAGCTCGTTGCCGTGTATTGGTGCAAGTTTCTAGTTCTCTCGTTTGCCACAGTCTGTGAATACTAAGAAATATTATACTATTTAAAAAAAAGGTTAGCGCGGGAAGGTCGCACAACAAGAGATTTTCGCTGTTTGCATTATTTTCTTTTCCATAGTCTGCCCTAAAAGCGCTCGATTTATTAGAAAATATCGATTATTTCGCGCCCTACGTAGTGTCCATCACATAAACCCTTTGTCCGCACAAAAATGTCTGGTTGAGTGTCACCGCAAGACAACAAGAAATTGTTTAACCTTCTGCGTCGGAAAGTAGAGAATATTAGCTAGCTTGCATAGTTGTCAGGCGTGTATATGGCAACTTAGAGATGGAGCAGTCGGTGACTTTTTGCAGATTGCAACTTATGTCGATTACACGGTAAATGCTTTCTGACTGTATGAATTGCCTGCTGTTTGTATAAAATCAATGTCCGAGAGGAGACCGCGTATTAAATAGAAGATCGAGCCAACGTACGACAAAAGATTGTGGGGTTAGACTTTGTTATTGTACTGGAAGTTATTAAAAAGGCGCCAAATGCGGTAAATGCTGAAATGGTAAAAGGAAAGACTTACAAATACTTCTTATTTAAATGCCGAAAGATTCGGGGTCCAGATATGTCATCGCGTTCATCATCTACCAAAGGTAAGGAAGAAGAAGAGGGGGCGGGTTCATGGACCAAATTATATTATATTGGTCCATGAACCTGCCCCCTCTTCTTCTTTCTTACCTTTGGGAGATGATGAACGCGATACTTCTAATTCTACCTGAAGAAGCAGGAGCTTGTTCAATATTTAGACACAAAGTGGGAGGAAATTCCGCAGTAAACCAAGCCCGACTACATAGCAAGGAGTGAACTGCCATGATGTGATAGTAAAGCATCGGATTTGCTATTATCTTCTCAAAAAAATGTAGACAATATCCCCAGCCACTGCGCAAAGTTGATATTTCACCCCCTGTGTGAAGGCTTTTGAAAGCTTCTGTGGACGAAAACTGCGAGAATTGGGAAGAAAACCCTCAATCCTGTCACGGCTTCGAAAAGAGCTATGCATGAGAAAAGTCGGCGCACATGGCAGCTTGCCGATAGCAAGACAGTACGGTGAGCAATTTACGCTATGCAAATGCGCGACCACACGTAACTGCGAGAGTCAGGGTGACATACTAGCGCATGACCGCGGGGCAGCGAACAAGTCATGGGCTGAGAGAGAGAGAGGCGTAAAAATGAGTGGAAATGCAAATATGGCATGAGCGCGAGAATTGTTTTGGAATCCAAGCCCACAGTGGCAACACTTGCAGTCCATGCAACAGATTCTAAGAGATTCGTTTTTAACTGAAGAAGGCTAGACGCTCGTTAAAATTGCCGGGCTTGTTGCTAAGACGATCCTCAAATGTGTGTTGTTTAATTTCCTGATAGAATTGATGCGCAAACGTGGAGCAAATCATTCGGAGCAAACCTTTTTATGCCGGGTCGGATTTATATGAATATTTAAATTAAAAACAATCAACTGCTGTATAATAACCGCGTTCTATTCAAATGCTTCCAAAAAGTATCCAGCTGCATAAAATTACGTTATTATTAACATTAACAACACTACGGGTACTAACTAAAAACCCAAACACGCGTGTTTCACCAATCTTGCGCCAATGTATGACGTAACTGCGAGGGGTTCCGCTCACCAGCGGTCGCCCAGCATTTCTGTGTGGTTTCCGGTATATGAACTTCAAGTTTCCTCCTGTCCTGTTTAATTTCCGAGGAAATGAATGCGCAAATTTGGAATAAATCTCTCAAAGTCCCAGGAGACGACCGCCTCTAACATGCTTTCGGGGTAAAAATGTTCCGTATAATTACTACCTATTGATATATTGTGAGTAGCAGTTTTTTTAGAAATATAAACAAGAATCACCAGAGTCCATGAAAGAAGGAAACCAAGTTGGATAGGAAAAGGGTGTCCTCAGAAAACCGATGACGCTCTATTCCGTGCCAGATACTTTACCGTCCGGTCTACGAACTGTAAGCCTATCGGGAATACAAATAATCTTTGTTCTTACGTTCCTTTCCAGGGCACGCATTTCAGCCCGCAGTAACGATGCGGTTTCTTTAAGTTCAGCGATGATACCCATTTAAGCATTCAGGAAGTCAAGATAGGCGAACGAACGTTTTCGATTAATTCATCATC